GATGCCCCATAGGGACATGATGATGCCCTGTGGGGTGACAATATATGGGGACATGGTGATGTCTTGGGAGGTGACAATGCCCCAGGACATGATGATGCCGAGGGACTTGGCATTACCCAGGGAGGTGACCATGCCTGGGCACACGGTGATGCCCTGGGACACGGTGATGCCCTGGGACACGGTGATGCCCTGGGACATGGTGGCCCCGGAACGTGGCAATGCCCCAGGATCTGACAATGCCCCAGGACGTGACCCTGTGCACCCCCAGCACCACCACGGTTGTCTCGGCAGGACATCGACACCTTCCTGGTCCGGACCCGGGAACGTGGCTACGAGACGATGCTGCACTTTGGCAAGAGGGGCCTCAACCTGGCGGCCACCGCCGCCGTCCAGGCGGCCACCAAGGTACCGGCACCGGGCAGGACCCTCTGTGCCAGAGGGGATCCCTCCCCGGGGTGAAACCCTGCCCAAGCAGGACGTTGTGGTGCAGATGGAGGGGTGTGGCTCACTCCCTGCCCTCTGTGCCCCCCCAAAAACCCAGAGCCAGGGCGCCCTGGCCGGGCGGCTGCGCAGTTTCAGCATGCAGGACCTGCGCTGCATCCCCGACCAGGGCCCCGCGCCCTTCCCGGACCCGCTGTACCTGGAGGAGCAGAGCGGCCGCCGGCTGGGTGAGCTGGGGCAGGGGGGGCTCAGGGCAGTGTGGGGGGGCTCAACAAAGCCCCCGGGGGCCGTGCAGTGCCAGCCAGCAGCTGTGGTGTCCCCTTTGTCCCCGCTGTGCCCAGGCTGCGGCGCGGCTCCGCCCGCCCGGCGCTACGAGAGCGACACGGAGGATGATGATGATGAGGAGGAGCTGTGGTCGGACTCGGGGGTGACCCCACAGCCTTCCCCACGCCGGGATCCCAAGCCCCTGTCCCGCAGCCAGAGCCTGCGCTCCCTGAGGAAGACCCCGGGAAAAGAGGTACTGTGGGAGGGGGACACGCTGTGGTTGGGGTCGGGGGTTGGGGCCAGGGGGGTCCTGACCCCATCTCTGCCCCTGCCCAGGGCTCTTCCCGGCTCCTGCGCAGCCGGATCAGGAGGAAAACGGCCCCCTCGGAGCAGGACAGCTAAAAATCCCAGGAAACCTCTGCCAAAGATCCCGGGAAACGCCTGCCAGGAGTCTTTACACAAGTTTGGGGGGGGGGGGTCAGCCCCCCCCATGCCTGCCTTCGGGGGGGGGGGGGAGGGTCCTGTATCCTTGGGGAGGGTTCCCTGCATCCTTGGAGTGGGGCCTTCCCCTGCCTGACACTGTAAATGCCTTCTGTGACCTCTGTGGTGCCTCGGGGAGGGGGCACCACCTCGCTGTCCCCCCACTCTGCTGCTCCCAGTGCCCCCTCCCAGACCCCCCCAGCTCGGCGCCGGCGCCTCCCTCATGGGGTCTGACCCCCTCCTCCTTTTCTGCCACCCCACAAACACCACACACGCTCTGGGGTCCCCCCCCTCCTGCCACGGTGCCTTGTTCCCCACATTCCCTCTCTCCCAGCAGCCAGGGATGGGATGGGATGGGATGGGATGTGCCTTGTCCCCCCGAAGCCAAAGACTTCTGGGCTCCCCCCCCACCCCAGACACAGACTGACACCCCCACACTTGAACCTGGTGGGGTGGGGGCTGGTGCCTCACCGTGGCCCTGCTGGGCACCTCATTCCCAGGCTTTTAACATTCCCCTCTCCCCCCCCAAAATAGGGGGTTTTGTACATGGGAAATAAATAAATAAATAAATAAACGCTGTTTCAGATTTTTGGAGCTGGGAATTGTCCCCTCTCCAGGGGGGTGCGGTGCCTGGTGGGACAGAGCAGCACTGGGGGTGCAAGGGTGGGTTTTTTCCCCTTTTGGAGGAAACTGTATCCTCTGGGATCCATCCAAGATTCCTCCTGGGGTTTTACCCCTCTGCTTTAGGCACGTG